TATAGTCAGATTTCAAATTGATCACTAAAAACTATCTACATCACCATTGAAGTGAGCTAATTGCATCTTTTCTATACTTTTATATACCAAGAAATATTAACCTCAAAAGCTATACTGAGAAAACAACAATATCTTGTTTCAAGAACGATTTTCATTTTCAATTAATTAGTATTCACATAGTATAGTCAAAAAATCATTAAAATGCAAATTTTAAAGCTACCAATTTTTCAGAAATGAGTAAAAGTTTCTTAGTAAGAGCTGACTGCTGAGCAAAAATTCCCATATCATCGATTTTGACACTCCATTCCGTTTTATATATAGAGAAATGCATAGCAGCCAGATGAGAGAGTGGGAAGGGTCCAAGACATTATCCAAACGAATGCCTGGCACATGCTCCGCATTTTTGCCGCATTTTATGTTATGTCTTTTATTCAGCTTGATGCCCCAAAGCGGTTTCAAAGAGTCTTTTTTTATCGGAATTGCAGTGGACATTCAACCCAGCCCACTGGGTTTAGTTGCTCACAGGTGATGGTCTTCACATGCATCCATATTTTAGAAGGCGTTTTCTTATGATTTGACCTTTTATCGAAGCAACTACCAATTTTGTCTTTATTCTTTTAGGCTGCACCAGCAATACGAGCAACATTGAATGCCATCAGGCCTGCGACTTTGACAATTTCAGTCGTTCTGTGTCCTCTTCTGGCCAGAGCTATTCCGTCCTCAAAAGCAACCGGAATTTGGCTCGCAGCGGTAAAACTCGATATGAGGTGACCATGAGACTGGGTGCCAATCTTACGGGGTATTATCGACATGCCGACCGGGAACAGTTGTCCGGCGTTATGGAAAGACAGGTAAGCTTATTTGACTCTACCTTTATATATTTGTATTTAAACTTAAGTTTCGTTGGTCTTCTTCTTGGTGGAGTACATTTATTCTCATAAGAGAACCTATATAATTTATATTTAAATTCAAAAGCTGGTTTATGTCCGCAATATTTATTTTATGAAAAACATTGTAGTCTTACTCTAAATCTAACATAAGCCACAGTTTATTTTGACAATAATGCAACTTTTTGAAAAAATATCTTGGACCTAAGCTAACCGTAAATTTTTCTTTTTAATTTTATTGTGCTTAGTTTTTATAGCAAGTAATTAATTTTTAACATACAGACCTTGTGTACGCAGAAGACCTTTAAGCTGATTTTCAATAAGAAATCGAATTAAGAAAGGACAAATTGTTTTGTTAACAATCAAGTTCAATATTTTAAAAGTAATATCATATTAATGTTAAGTGCAAATAAAAATGTGGTTATACGAAGCTTAGCCCACATAGTTTTGTGTCAAATTAAGCTCGTCCTCCGATCTTGCCACACCAGTGGCCACTTGACCAATGCCGTGAAGCACATTTCGCACCGCTCCCTGAGTGGCGTCCAAGGATGCAGTCCACATGGGCGGATGTGCCGCCTGGGGCTGCGCATTGTTGGGAGCAGGACTTCCGGGACTGCCCGCACTGCTCTCCATGATCGTGGGCATGTTGGGTGGGTGCTGGGCGGAGGTTGCCGGCGGATCGACCCGCTCCATTAGTTGGGTGAAGCTGCCTCCGATGAGGTCGCTACTCTCGTGTCGCTTGTAGCTGTGGGCGGAGCGGGAGAGGGGTCGCCAGCGGTTTAGCTTCTTGGAGGCCATACGCTGCAGAGGCGGAGTGCGGGTGCCCGTCTCCGGGTTAAGGGACGGAGCTCCCTTGCCCCCGGAAGTGTGCTGCTCCAGAAGCGAACTGACCAGCTTGTCCAGCGCCTTTAGATCAACGTTCAGCTGGGAGTTGGGGATGGAGTTCATCCGACTGCCAGAAAGGCTGCCCGAGCTCGTCTGTCCCGGGTCCCCATCTGTCTTAAGTCGATTGAGTCCGGCGATCTTGGCCAGACGTTCGGTGAGCTGCAAAAACCAAGAACATTTTTTCAAATCATTACGGTTTCTGTATCTAAATATATAAAAGATATTTTCACTTAGGTGAGATAACTGCACTAATAATATTTTAGGCTTACAAAATATATAAAATATAATATTTTTCAGCTTTGAAAGCAAGATTCTTATATGAAACATACTAAATAAATTAACTTGTATCTTCAATTTATATAAAAATAAAACATTTTTATGATATAGTAGAACTGCTTACAACAGAAGTAAAATATACCTATATAATTTGACTATGAAAGAAATTTTGTTCTTATAAGTCTATAAGATTATAAACTTTTCACTTATAATTTCTATTAAAAATAATAATATTTTTAAAAAGATATAAAAGCAAATTCTTTTGTAAATTTGTAACAAAATTTAACAATATGTCAAAAGTACAATCAAAGCTAACTTTGGCAAGCAAAGTTTATATTCTATTATTATTATTCCAAAAATTAAGCATTCTTTAAAACTGCAATATTTCTGCTGAATTATTCGATCGTTCCGTTGGTAGCTTTTCTGATATTATAAACCATGACTCTGTTTCCAAAACAATAAATAATAATAATATTTTATATGTTTTTCCGATGGTTTCCATTTGAGCTACATTATATAGTCGTCCGATTCTAATGAAACTAAAACTCTGAATTACTAAAACCATAACTATATTTCAAAATATATTGAAAAATATTTGAAAAACACAGAGGTCTTCAAGGGTACAAAAAAGTGTATATCGCATAAACGACCCTAAGTTTTTCCCTGTGAGCAGTTGTGGTTCTTCTTGCCCAACTCCCTTTTCCTAATAAATCGCCTGTGAGACGCTCAGAGGCTGATACTTGAGCGCAGGCAATTAAACTTTCCGTTTCCCATATGCGAAATTACAATTAAGCAATAAAAACTAACGAAATATGCCCTTAGGCTGCTGGCAACCGAACAAGTGTTCGGGCGAACACTTCTCCAAGTTGCAATGGAGGAGAAAAGCAATGGCAATGGCAGTGGCAATGGCAAGGGCAATGGCAATGTGCTCTCGAAGGAGGAGGTTGAGTGGCTGTCAGGACACCAGAGTTATAAGGATTCGCTGGCGTGGAGCTGCTCGGTGTGCGACTTTAATTGATGTTTCATTTCCGTTGCAAAGTGCTTCCGTTTTCCTGAGCTCCGCATCCGCATCCGCCGTTTGTTTTGTCCAAGTGGGGTAGTCGAGTGCCGACCTGGTAATTGAGTATCAATGCGGTTTTAAGTGAAAAATGCTGCCAACCTATGGACCCAGCCATGGCAACCCAGCCACCCAACCACCCAGCCACCCAACCACCCATCAAACCACCCATACTCAATGGCCAACCATTTCCGTTTTTAATCTTTTGCCTTGATTTGTTCGCTCTCCTTTCGGTTCCGTTCGCCGCTTTTCATTTCATTTCGTTCGTTTCGTTTCGTTTTCATTTCATGTTTCTGTGTTTTTTCAATTGCCTCGTGCTCCATTCAAATGGGGTTAATTGAGTTTTAGTGGCCAGGACTCACTTTAAACTGATTACAAGATGCCAGAGGGGGGCGTGGTCGTCGTAGGCTTTGCAGGTTTGTTTTGCATGCCACTCGGCTGTTCCGTGGCTGTCTCTCGAAATATTTGGAGCATGTCAGTCTGGCAGCCACTCGAGCTTCTTGGCCATTCCACCCAAGCCCACCTCCATCCTTACTTTTGCCGCCTGCAAACGAATTAATGTAGAACTTGATTTGTGGCAATCGACGCTTGGATGGCTTTTGAATGCTTTTTGCTTCTTGACGGCGAGTTTTAATTGAGGCGCCCGTCGGTTTGTCGGCTTGTCGGCTCTTCGGCTTGTCTGCTCCTTAAACAGGAAATTAAGAAAGTTTTTCACCATGCCTTATGATTATGGATTCAGGCACGTGTAGCCGTCATTAGCGGATTCATCAAGGTGATGGCACATGCAGATCTTAGTTGAGTTCCTCTTTCCTGCTCAAAACAACCACGACCAACAAATCCAAAACCAAACTGAACCCAATGACAAGGTCTCAGAGCTTAGAGCTGCAACTTTGCAGCTTACTGTGTTTTTTTCATTCCAAATGACAGCCATAGCCCCAGTGGGTCTACTTTCATCTAGTGCATACAAAAAGCGACAGGGGTTTATTTTCGTCTTGGGCTGCTCCTTCATTCGCAACAGGTTCAGCTGGCTTAGCTATAAATCTTATATGATTTTCCACTGCTCAGTTGTTGCTCTGCTGCTGCTCCTGCTTTTGCAGCTGCCCCGCCCCCCCCAGTGACCCCTTTGTCCTTACCTCGCTGCACGCCGCCTTGATTTATGATCTACCCAACTTGGTTTATTGTCGCATCGTTTGGCCGGCACTTTTTCCGGGCGCCGTGCATTTTGTGCACTTTCTTGTGCGCCTCGCAGGGCTTATCAACTAATGATTGAGGTCAGTTGGCCATCCTACGCGGCCGTCTGCTCCCTGCCTTCGTCTCTGCCAAATAATTGCCAGTAATTAAGCTTAAATGCCGTTTGTCAGAGGACCACCACCCAATCGCCCAATCGCCCCGGAGCCTTGGAGGTCTGTGGGTCATGAAAAATGTAGTTTCGAGCCACTTCCTGGCCCAAACTTGTATTGCGGCATTGGTAAATTTTTAATTGCTCAGAAAGTTGGTGGAAACTAGTTTATTAAAGCAAGTATGTCAAACTGGGTCTTTGTTTCTGCAGAAGAAAAGCACAAACAGATGTGCTTGACATTTTAATTTTTCAAAAATCGATGGCTGCCATATGCAAACAGAGTGTTGTCTCAACTGAGTCAATATATAAATATTTGAAAGCGACACACGCCCATCTACCAACCTGTGAATAAAACTATTCAAATATTTTGCTTGAAGCCAGCTAGGCCCAATCTTTGGCACAATGGTCCATCAAACACTGATGGAGTGCGAAAAGTAGTCATAATCACTGGCAGCTGTGCACACTTGCCAATTTGCAGAAATCTTGTTCGGGAGTTGCTATAAAAGCTGGGGATCTGGCAAGAAAAAAGTATCAGTCGACATCTGGCAGCATCTCCAGCAACATGAGGAAGTCAATTGTGATAGTTGGAGCACTTCTGGTGACCATTTTCGTGGTCCACCTCCCAGTTGGCCAGGCTGTCACCTGTGCCGATGCTCCTGACGATACTTCCTGCATCGATTGCACGTCATCTGCGAATGCGGACAATGCCGAGTGTGCCACCACCACCACGGTGGCTCCTGACCCCACCACTGTAGCCGGCGAGACTACCACAGTGGCTACTGCCGCCGGAGAAACCACTGCTGCCTCTGCCTCTGCCACCACCGTATCCTCTGCGTCCGGCAGCAAGAAGAAGACGAAGACTACAAGGACCTTCAGACGGACGATAAGCAGGCCCAACAAGGTCAGGAGGATTAGACGCAACAGGAACAGGAGCAACAGGAGGAGAAACAACTCTGGTTAAGCAACACTATTGGAAATCGCAAACGATGATAAAACCCGACACGGAAACAATTACCCTTATACTCTTTAAATAGAATTTAGGAAACATAATAAATTTTTAACTGGGCCCACATACTGAACTTTTGCTTTAAACGTTACGTAGGTTACGAAACAGATTCCTCGATAACGGTAAATGGCAAACATTTACTAACCCTAATACCCCTTATACAATAGTTAAACCAATTATGTAGCTTCAAAACAAAAAGAGAAAAGGTCAGCACAATTATATAATATTTACAGGTCAACAAACACGTTTAATTTTTAATTTTTTACCAATGCCAATACGGAATTTCATTAAAACAAGTATTGATACTTGTTTCTTATACATTTTTGTCCTGTTTAATTTAGATTTACTTTTTTTTAACTTTAAATGCAAATTTAATTATTGTGGGTCTACAGTATTACTTAAGACTGAAATTTTAGCCTCAGCAATTAATGAGAAATAAGGTTCTTGTTTTTAATATTAGTTTGAGATTAGTACAAAATAGAGAACTACTTTTTGCTCACCTCACCAGCCGCATTGCTCGAGTAGCTCATTCGCTTGACCTTCTTGAAAGTGGCATCGTTCTCGGCCTGGGCCAAAGCCCTTTCCAGGGCGTTATCCATCTGGGCATCCCGCTCGTCCAGTCCGTGATAATGGGCGCCACTGTGGGTGGAACAAGCAAGTGTTAATTTTATGCAACAATGGCATGAACTTTGAATGACGCGTCAGGGTGGAAATAAATTGCACTCTGCCAAAACATTTATGGTTTTTGTTAGTCTCGTGTAAACAAATGTTGCCGGCATTTTGTGCTGAATTAAAAAGCTTACAGCTGTGTGTTAATTTGTTGCATGAATTTGCATTGTTAAAATGTCCATCACAGTGAGCGCGTTTTTTCTCTTGGCATTTTCAGGTATTAAAACGCTTATTTTAGAGTCATTTACAGAAAATGCTCGTTTTCTATTTCGCTTCAGGGCAACATAAATTAGAACTAGTAGTTGAATGCATATTGATTCTGTTGCTATTAATTTATTTACAAGTATACTTTTTATGTAAAGTTGGCAAAAAAAAATTAAATGTACACAATTTGTATAGCCATTTGAAGCGGATTTTCTGGATATCCAGCTACTTGGATCTGTTCCAACTTTCTGGTTGACTTTATTTCGGGATTCTTTTTCATGTTTTATAAACATTTGTTCCTTTTTCTGCTTTGGCTTTTGCCTAAGTTCGGCATAAATACTTGGCAATGATTTCAATTATGCGATAAATATTTTACAGAATGTGCAGTGCCATACTTATTTATGGACTAGATGGCGTGGGCGGTACACTCGCACTCTGACGACATAAATACCTTCATTATTTACCTTTTCGGATTGCGTTCAAGCATTTGGGCAGACAAATGCTGGGAGTAAATTGACTTGCCCCCAGGACGTGTTCATGAGAATGAGTTCGAGGCCACGCACACACACGGCCGGGCTCAATTATTCAACAAAACGGAATTGTAAAGGATATGCGAAATACGAGAATTGGTTCATGGGCGGTCGGTCTCGAAAGAGATTTTTACCCCACTTGTGTGTTTGCCACTCACCCGCCGAACTTGTCCATGCCCCTGATGGTTCCTCTCCCTCCAGGACCTCCATGTCCTCCAGGTCCTCCAGCCATGCTGCTCCGACTGTGGGGATGCCGCATTGTTGAGCGGTTTGTTTTGCGAACGGTTCGAAGATCTGTTTCCCAGAATCTGCGTGAAGGGGGAACATTTATTTTAAAAATAGTTGAAATTGTATGCATACGAAAATCAAGTGAAAAATCAATTCTATACCTTTGACAGATTAAAGCTATTGAAAGCCTTTTGTAACCTATTGATACAGACTGTTTTTAATGGTATAACATATTCAAATTCGATGTTTGGGCTCAAAACCCTTTGCAAACAATAATTACTTATAATTTAATTCTTATCTGTTATTTGCCTACTCAAAAATTTAAATTCAACAGTGATGAGACTTTAAAACAATGAAAATTATATATTTGACCATTAAGAAAAGCTACTTTTTAAGTATAAACGTTTTAAAGGATTCCATATAGTAAGTTTTAAAATAAAATGGTTAGAACTTGTTTACTCGGACACTGTAATACCTAGCTAAGTGTTATTTCAAAATGACGTAGACTTTTTCAATTCCCTTTAATATTGTCTCCCCACCTATAAAGTTGCACTGTAAAAGAGCTGTAAAATTATATTTTGAACGATTGGCTACGCACGACTTTTTGCAAAACTTTTAGTTGAATTTTACTCAGTTGCTATCGAGAAACTTTTTCTATTATAGGAAGTAACCTTCGGGCAAGCAAAAATGTCGCCATTTTTGTTGGCATAGGAACCGCTCTCGTCTGACAGAAACCCCATAAAAATCATTTTGAATTGGCGGAGACATGAAATTCGCAACCATAAACCGCTGTCAAAAGAAAACCGCAGCAATGAAAACAAAACCAATTCGAAAGATTCGAGCAAACTGGGACCGGGTAACAACAAATAAATATGAAATCATGCACTTTATCCGTAATGCAACAGCCTGCGGAAAGGGTCCTTTTCTGGTCCTGTTTATTCTGCTCTCTGCCGTGGACTCTTGGTCAAGAGAGGGTCTAAGTGCGGCAAACAAGAGGGCAGAAATCGGCATCGGTATCGGCTACTGAATGGTTGGATAAACGCCCGTTCTGTCTACTAACCAGCTTATAAAAAAATCTGTTCTGAGTGGCTTTGTTTTGGTTTCACTGAACTGGCTGCAGTGCAAGTTTCAGATCGATATGAGGGTATCGCTGGCGAGGGTATGCACAAAGCACACACCATTTCTAAAAGCTACACAAACAAGTCAAACAAGCGGGCAGGCGAACGTGAGTGTGCCTAAATAAACGTTGGAACAGTCAGAGGGCATTCATACAAACATATGTACATACATTTGTACACTATAATAATAAAAAGAATGCCTCAAACGGCGGCAGCGAAATAAAATTGTAGCACACTTTCGCGGGCCGCTTATGCGGGCTGTGGCGCGATGTTGACAACTGACAACGATGGACGAATGCTTAGTCCTCGCTTGAAGCAATTTAATGCGCCACTCTGGCAAATTAAAGCCACATGTCTGGCCCCGGCTCTCAGGGGCAGACAGAGTCAGAGTCAGAGTCAGAGTTATAGTCAGAGTCAGAGCCAGACTGGAGCTTAGATCCCCACTTGTCATTCGAGCCGGGATCCAAAGATGGAGGGCATTTATTTTCATTTAGATTGCCTCGGCCACTCGCCGAGTGGGTAGAAAACGAAATAAAAACACCAAATCAGTCAGTTAATTACGCGATATATCATATTTTGAGCGAGGCACTTGTCCAGACATGCTGCTCGCTGCCAAATATAGTTTCTTCACTCCAAAGGCATTGCTAACAAATCGCCTGGCCTAAAAAGGCTTTCAAAGTCGACGCAGCTAATCTTTTCCCAAAATGAGAGCACATCAACTAAGTCCGAAGTACTGCTGAAATACAGCTGTATCCCAAATCGTCCTCCTTTATTGATTTAAATGGGCAGCCTGGCAAGTGTCGGACAAACATAGGTTAATTTCCCCAGCTGGTTGGTCACACGTGTTGGTGTTTACGCATTGTTCCGCTGGAGAAATGGCACAACCTAAGATTGGCTGAATAAACAAACAGACAAGATCTGATTTATTAACTGAGACCAGATTAGTTCAATGACAATGTTGATGTTACATATAATTCGTCTGCTAATAGATGTGCATTTAAAGTGACTATAAACAGAGATGGCTCGCAAAGTAAACCAATGCAATGTGATTTTGTCTGTGGTTGTCGTCGTTATTAATTACACTTACTAATGGGCAACTGACCAAGCGCACATAACGGAAATGATAAGCTTAAAAGCACTTGCTCCGCCGTCATTAAACACACTCCAGCGCTTCTCGCTGTGCAGATTTTTAATTTCCTGCTATTCATGCATATGTACGTATTACGTTCTCTAGGGTTGACCATCTTCGACGACTTGGAAGTAGTTTAATCTGTTTTTTTTTTATCAAAATGTATCTGATAAATATTTGAAGTGCTCGAAATTTGTTTTATTTGATAACTGGATAAATAAAGTAAGGCCCACATGCTATGCGGATAAAGAAAAAATAAAAAAAAATTGAATTGAACTGAACTAGAATGAACTAGTCTTTTTATAAAAGTGGATATTTTGCCTTCCTGAAATTCTTTTGAATGAAAAAATTCAAATTTAATACATACATTGTGACGAAATTCTTATAACCCTTTTATTTAAATTTATTGATAAAAATAAACTGTAAATTCATATATGATAAATTTGAACACAATAGTTACATATATCAAAAACCTATTTTCAAAGGTAGCAAGGTCCACCCTAATGAGTTCACCGAGTGGACAACCACTACATGTCGTCATCGACTAAAATATGCCTACAAAGTGGCAGAAATGTACTGACAGAAATGGTCTACTCACCGCTTTAAGTCCGGACTGGCCGTATATGGCGCCGAGACCTCTTTAATTTTCAATACGATTATGGCCGTGATAAATATGCAAATCACGTTCACGACGGTCAGGCAGGCGGACACGATGCCGTTGATCAGGAACTCGGTGGGCAAGTAGTTCGTGTAGATGAAGGGATACGCGCTGGTCGAGTTCATCGGCTCGTTCTTCAAGTGGGGAATCCGCTTCTCCGGGTAGATGAGCCAAATGCAGGCCAGTGACCAGAAGAGACCCTGTAAAACGGAACAAGCGGAAGAAAGTGGCTGTGACTTTGAAGTTTCCATGGTCCATGGTCATGTGTGGCGGTCGTTCGTCTGATGCTGCCTTCTCGGGGTCATAAGGTCGCCGCGTGCTTAGTTCCGGTTAGATGGCTCAGCCGTTGGCATACCAAGTAGTCGCTCCTCCCGGCCTTGAGCTGTAATAACTTTGCAGCGTGTGTGGGCGCCACAGAA